GTTTACATTGTATCCCTGTTGTAGCAAATTTGGGGAAAATGGTGGTTAATCATTTTGCACTTTGTTTCCGATACCTCATGGAGATTTTAAGGAAAAAAAAAAAGAAAAAAAGGCAGGTACCTTATAAATTATTTTATATGTGCTATTGCTTGAGAACACCTGAACTACCTACTTTCCTGTTCTTGCTGTTGTTGATTTTTTTTGTGAACATCTGAGGCTTTCAGATAGATGGAAGTGCAATCATGCGCCTTTTTCAAGGCATTAAGAATCAATCCCTAAAGAAGGTTTTTATTTGACTCTTGTAATTTCAAGTACAGGACGTTTTTTTTTTTTCATTAGAGTCCAATCTACATCATGTTTTTACAATTGCTTCATAATTTAACATCTTGCAGGATGAGGTTACATACGGACTTCATTTAAACCGGTGTCCTTTGTTTCTTCTCTGTCCTTTGGGGAGTATTCACTTAAGCCAACTGCTCATGATTATGTAAAACTGATGCTGAGGGGTTGTATTTGAAAAGCTAATATGAAAAAAAGCTTGAGGTGAGCTCTGGATTTTTCCAGCTTCTCTCTCTTTACATTAAAACAGTATTCCAAGGTAGGATTTAGGGTTTTGAGCATGGAGAGATTGACGAAGGAAGAAAGTAGGGAGGGAGAGATACCAAAATGTACAGTTAGTTAAGGTAACCTCTCATGAAAATGTAAGTTCTGTGAAAGGTTTAGCTTCCCACACTTTCACTCTATGAATATTCAGGGCAGTGGTTTTGTGTGTTGCTCATGCAGAAGGAGGCCACTCCAGTAGGTCGCAGTGGATTTTTAGAGGAGTTTCTCAGAGACTTTCATTGCGTGATGGACTTCTTGTTGAAGAACCAAGAAGTCCATACTTACTATATTCATTTATTTAAGTTAGGAAACAGGCTGGTTTTTAATATTGGAGATGACTGGTTTTATGTCAAACACTTTTGCATTACTTCAGGCAGCAATTGAATCAGAGTTTATCTGCAGTGCATTCTGCATTCTGAGGCTGCGAAGTTGTGAATGGAACTGTCCAAAAGTACGGGCTGACTCAGCAGGTCCCACAGTATGTGTGAAATAGATTTCTTAGCAAAAGTTTACCTGGAATTTTCTCTTCCTTACTGTGGGATTTCTAAAGATTATGGATAACTGCAGTTTGTTATCCCACAGAAATGTGTCACAGGCCTGGTCGCCTACTGAACTTTCAGTCTTCGGCATGATTATACTTGGAACATGTGGAAACTGTTGCTGGTTTTGTTTTTTCAAATTCAGTAGGCTTCTTGTCGTGATAACAGTTCCTGGGAACTGTTTCATCTTCCCACCTGAGCATTAGTAAAACATATTCTTGAAGAAACTGAGCTCAAGATACCTACCCAGCTTTTTCTCTTCAGATTTTATTCTGGCAGTAGTTGCATAGCTCCATTTCCAGCAGTGTTTCTGCGCAGTTATGACTGATGAGAAATGAGATTATTTCCTGGTATCTTTCTGGAGATACAAGAACTTAATTCAGACTCCTCTTTCTCTGAGAGTGGAACTTTTTTTAGGAGAAAAAGAAATAAATTCTAACAGATTAAACAAAAGAACATGCACTTGCTCAGGGAGCAGGTCTGTTGAGTGGGATGATGATATTTTCAGAAAACTATTTCTCAGAACAGAACGCTGCATTCCGTGAACATCTGTTGAGGTTGCTGGAAGTTTCGGTCTCTTTTTGAGCAGTAACAAACTCATACCATTTACAAATTACTGTTTCATTAGTATTATAAAAATGAACTTAGAATGCAGGAATGTGTGAGTGAATGCAGTTATCTAGGAAATGTATTATAATGTGTGTTGTTCAGTTGTTCAGGTATGCTGGAATATGTTCCTTGAGACGTACTGGGAGAACTGCTAAGAACTGGGCTTTTCTTTGCGATTAAGGCCAAGGGAAAAAAGAGAGTCTGGAGACGAAACTTGGCATTTTGTTCACTTTGTAAAACAAGAAAGTGTCGGTCTCCTATTTTAATCTCTCTCTCAGCATCAACAATCTCTGTCGAGTTTTTAAATTAACTTCTTCGATCAACCCTACAGTTGGGGTCCTTGAAACAGAGATGGGATTTTGCTTTGCCTTTAGCAGTACTTGTTATCTCAGGACAGTGGGATTAAAACTTCCAGGGGTCTCTGGTGAAGTGTCTTTCCTAACAGCCATTTTGAGGAAGCTGTCTGTTTGCTTCACTATACTTTAGACTGCAATTATTTGCAGCTTTAAGGACAATCTCAGGATTTTACCTGGGTTTGTGAGTAGGATTACTGATTCTTAAAATAGGATGAATATTCAGTTTTAAAAAAAAAATGTAGAAAGCTGCCTGGACTCAGTGTAATACAATTTTCTTTCTTTTGGCTCACAACAATCAGGAGCTGTCTTTAAAGGCTTCTTAGTGGACTGAGGCTTTAAAGGGCTAAATAGGTCTTATTTTATTGTTCAGTTCGTGTAAAAGAAGGAACTCTTCATTTTCACTGCAGAAATCCTAAGGGCTAAAATACTGTCCAGGGCTAATTTGAGGTTCTAGAGACATAAATAACTTCTAAAAAGCAGCTAGTTTGTTTTTCTAACTCAAACTCTGAAATCATTTATAGAAATTGCAGATATAACCAATTGCAGATATAATTGCGTTCATATCTTGTTTGGAATTTCAGTATCCAGCTTGGTAAGGAGTACAGTAGAGATGACAGCACATTTGCCTACCACTTTATTATTGCCCATGTTGAAATCTAACAGCTGTTGTGAACAGAACTGCCAACAGAGAGACTTTGAGGAAGATTCTGTGCCAGGAAATTGATGCTGAATATTTCATTGCAACTTAGCTGTCCTTCACTGTTGTAAGATCTACCAAGGTATAAACTTCTGGAAAGCTCAGTAAATAAATACTGCTGCAAACAGAGCTTTCTGGGTTCTTTCCAGGGTTCTCTTCAGGATGTTGTGTATAAATAATTACTATAATTAAAACAATTTATTGATAGTTATTTTGATCCTTTGGGGATGGCTGAGGCAGGAGAAGGTTCTGCAAGTTCTCCTTGCTTCGGAATGCTGAGCCTAGGGTTTGACCCAACCTAACACCTACTGAGATGTCCAGGCCCAATCAATCCGTATGAAATGTAAGAGTTGAAATATCTGTGTACATGATTCTTGTTCCTTTTGAAGATTTTACAAAAGCTCATGCACAACATTATTCAAATTGAAGTTGGCCCACGCGTTCTTGCTAGGAGAAAAGCAAGTGCCAAGACACTGTCAAAAAAAAAATGTTGCCAACCTATCTGCTTGGAACTGAACCAAGAGCACCAAACTGAACAAGTACCAAATGGCAACTATTTCAGCCTGCTTCTGTCCTGAGCCTCATCTGAGCCTCGCTGTGAAAAAAATCCCTGAATCCATTTCCTACAGTCTGTCTAGGCCCACATACCCAATTCAGCAGGTTGGTTTTGTTGGTTTTAAAGCACCTGTCTCACAGTTAGTTGTGCATCAGCTGTTTGTGTTAATATCCAAGTGGCCATACTTGCAACATGTTATTTCCTGGATAGTGGATTAGCAATAACACTTTATTTTGTGCCAATTCGTTATCTCTGAAGTGTTCTTACTGCAGCAAAGTTTGAGTTTTGATTTGGTTTTAATGCCTTTGCATTAGCCAGAACTCTTAGCACAGACATGGACAAAAAATTGAATCCAGGGAGTTTCCCTGGATAAAAAATCTGCTAGGGCTTCCCAAGACATTTGAAGTTGGTATAGTTAGCCATCATTTTTAAAACAAAGATACGATTACAAATGTGTGTGGGTATTTTTTTAACCTCCTTTTCATAACACTAGCCTATTGTAAACTGCATGAAATAAATCTGTTTTTCCCTTTTAAAGTCTGATGTCTTAAATCTTTCTTTTTAAATCCATTACGGTTGACCATAACGGTTGCTGATACACTTGGTGTAGCACTTCATTTAGACATAAAATGTTTTATTTTTCTACAGTGATTCAGAGCAGCAATACTTTTTCCTTTGTAAAGGAGATGCAGCCTTCTCTGTTTCCTCCAAGAGTTGATCACAGAAAAAGCCATGTTTATTCAGATGTACATCCACTGGGAAATTAAGGTATTTCCTTAGTGCTTATGCTGATCGTCGCTAATCATTATAGCAGGAAATTGTCCCCTCTGGGAGGGACACAACAAAGAAAAGTGTCAAGTTTTAATTAATGACTGTGTATATTTTCTTCCATTCACATAGCTAACAAATCAACCTGCATAACCTCACTGATTTCTTTTAGAATCCAGTATGTAGGTTTTTAATACAAATACTTATATCTGAAAAATGAACCTGAAACTGACACTTTGTAATAAGAAATGTAAACAAGCCACTTAGTGAACTCTGAAATCTTAAGGGGCTACACAATTAAGAATGAGGTGAATTTCATATTGATAGTTTTAATTGGTTTTAAATGCAAAACATGTTCGAAGTTTAGAAATAGTGAAATTGTGTCAGTTTACTAAAGTTATCTCCTGCATTTTAATTGTATTTGAATTTTGCTAAAATATACCCTAAAAGCAAGTTACTCAAGTAGAAATTAACTACTTGATGTGTTCACTCTTTACTTTTATCAGGCTTTGTTACTAAATGCATTTGCACTTTACCATTAATAGCACTGCTTTTAATCCAGATTCCTACTGCAGAAATCTGCAGTTTCAGGCATCTTCACAAATCAGCAGAAATGAGAGCACAGAAGGGATAAGTGTGTACCAGAAACCAGTTAAGGGGGATCTGAAGTAGATAGTTCTCCTAGACTGCACACCTCCAAGTAAGCGACAGCATCTAATTTAGACTTTATAAGATTTGGAGCTTATTAAGAGCTAATGCTCCTTTCTGCAGAAAGCTTCATTTCAGGAAGATGAAGACAGCTCTGCATGTTCAGCTTTCAGTGGGCTCCAGGCTTGCCTGGTAGTCATAAACACATAGTCCTTGTTTGTGTTACCCAAGGCTGCAGCTTGCCCAATTTCACGAGATAAATCCTTTGAATGGTGTGTTAACCATTCCTTCTAAAAATCACTGCTGTTGGTATTATCACTGGAATCCTCAGTGTCTGCAAAGAAGTGTGATTTTTTTTCACCGTGTCCATTCAGATCAGCAGTAACAGCTTTCAGTGCTGAGTTTGGAAGGATGCAAATTCAAGCAATGTGAACGCCCCAGGTGTACCCACTACACAGGAAACCTGCCTGCTACCTCAACAAATGTGTTACAAAGCTGCTCTTAAATACAGATATGTCTTAGAAGAACCCGTACTGCAAGTGATAGGACACTTGGAAAGATAAACAGAGGTTTTACTGTGGTATTTGCTAATGGTGAAAGATTGTGTAGCTGGAATGGTCTTTCATCGGATTTGGCACAGCCACTTTAACAGGCTTCCTGAAAGTATCTATTCCTAACTTTTGCAAAGAAACTTCCAGACATTCCAAATGTGTTTTCACCAAATAAAATACAACTGAGATGGCATCCAGTAACTGTTGCATGAAGCAGCCTGGAACAAGTTTTCATTAAGGTCTCTGAGACTCCTGTTTCTCCAAGTCTTTAGTGACAGTCGGGATGTTTTCTGCACACACAGCTGCTAACTCTTTTCCATCTCTCCTCCAGCATTTACTAGTTAAAAGAAAGAAAATAGCTAATGTCATAGGTATTTGTGCATTGGGATGAGAGAAAGTTGGGCAGGAGGGCCCACAGGAAGACAGGTATCCTATTTTGTATCATTGTGCTATGCAATAGGCTAAAGCATGCATTGGAACAGGAACTATTAATTCCAAGGGAACATAATTCCTCTTGAATGATTCCTTTATGGAGAGGAGCTAAATGAAGATAGGGTAAGAATATGGCAAGCAATTTGAGGATCTAGTTCGTTTCTATTTTCTGAGAGCAGCCTGGAGAAAGACAGCTCCTCCATCATTTCTGTGGAGCTGAACGGAGATTAAATTTAAATGAGAGCGTGAATTGTTTAGAGAAAAAAATCGGGAGAGTACCAGAGCACTTGGCTCACCCTCTTGGTTAAACAGGGGAGTGGCTGCACATAAAACACGTAATTTAAGCTACCTTTAAACCCTCAGCTAATGAAGACTCCGCACCCATCCTCACATTACTGCCATAGCGTCTTTATCAATTGAATTTGCTTAATACCTGCCCTTGGTTTTTCTCACAGCGCTTTAAACTGATGACGTCTTGCCTCGTGCTCCGTTATGGGGACGAACAGATCGTCGCCCTGCTCATTGCGGCCGCCTTTTCTTTTCTCAGTGGTAATTTAAATCTCCGCATGGCGGGTTGGGGGGCGCTGCCTCCATCGCGGCGTGCCAGAACGGCTGTCTGGGTGGGATGTGGGACAGTGAGGTTCTGGAGCCGAGCACCAGCCCAAGTTTATCCCATTCAATATAGCGATGCTTACTTATGGAAATGCCTAGTTGGAGTGACGGGAGAAGGGCGAGGAAAATAAGCCATGTTGGTCTTACGGTGCTACGTAGGGTGCAGTTCAATAAACAGACCACGGCAGGATGCGGCTAAAAGGAGGTTTAAAGACAAAAAATGTCGGTTTCATTAAAATTAAACACGGTAAACATAAGGAATGTGAGTCAGACCCAAAAATTAAAAATAATAATAAAAAAAAAAAAACACTAAAAAACCCACCAAACTTACAAACAAAACAAACAAATAAACAAAACAAACAAACAACAAAAAAAAACAGGAAGCTAACGCACACGGCCTCCGCCGCCCGAAACAGCCCGCAGCGCCCGCGCTTGGGGCCCGGGGATCCGCCCCCAGCAGACGGGCTCGCCCCGCCCCCTCCCGGCTTTGCCCAATTGCAGCGCAGGCAGCGCCAGGACCGCCTCTCCATCCTCCAATCAGAGGCGCGAATGGTCGCAGTGGGCGGGTCCTACCGGGCTCGAGTGCCTCGCGGCTCAGGCGCAGTGGGCCGGACCCGCTTGGCTTCCTGCGCCCGGCCGGACGGTTATAGGGCACAGGTGACCGCCTCAGCGCCTGAGGTAAAACTTCACTCCATTTTTCGATAGGGGAACGTAGGGCCAGAGGGGCAGGAGGACGTGAGAGGGTTCGAGAGGGCTCTGCCGGGATCTCCGTGGCGCTCCCTGCTCAGGCGCCGTTGAGGACGCCCGCAGGTCCTGCTGACGGAGACGCGTGAAGAGCGGCGGGCGGTGCGCGGGCTGGGCTGGGCTGCACCGCGCCGGCGCAGCGTCTCGGACGGGTCGTAGTGAGGGACACACCGCGTTAGTGAGCTCTGCACCGAGGGAGGGGGGGACGGCGGAGCCATCTCGAGACAGGAGGGAGGG